AGCTCACCTGTCTGTGATCTCTGATGCTTCAATCAATTTCTAGACACATAGCAACCAGCTATATGTAAACATCATAAAAATGATCGCAATTTATTTTGAGCACCTCCACTAAAAAGATGTGTATGAGAACCAGGAAGTGTGACCTCTGGTGAGCATATATGTGAGCACTTCAGTGATCTACAGCAAGAACCATAACTGTAACTTGTGTGCCTCAACTACGTGTGCAAGTCCTGGCAAGCATGTGTAAGCATCATAGTGAAAGTAGTACAAATCTCGGAGAGCACCATATCTGGTGTGTGAACAATGAAACCTGATGTGTGATACCCAGTAAGCACCACAGTTTTTAAAATGTGTGGGCAACACACTCAGATGTGTGTGCAAACTTGGGATATCACAACATCAACAATGAAAGGAGGGGGGACAAGGGGAATGGGGAAATAAACAAAAATTTCTCAAAACATGGTTGCAGCCTTAACTATGGAAAAACACACTTTTGAGCTTACATTTACCTTCCTGTGATATCCACCACTATAATAGCACTTACTTTGTGCCAGGCTTTGTACTGACTTCTGTGCCATCACCCCCAATACACAACAAGTAGCATGGAAGAGATCTAATGGTGGTGATTTTCTTGGCCCGGAAACCAATAAACAGTTCCTCACAGGACAGGAGAAAGGGCAGCTAGCTGGGATAAGAAGGCACAGTGAGAGTCAGGCCTTTTATTTTCAAAAGGTAACAAGCAAGTATGACAACATGGCAATCTGGGGGCTGTCTGAGAAACAGGCAGTCCCACATTCAGGAGTTTTAGAATAGGACCAGCACTGAAAACTTTGTCACCACCCTACCACATATGAACCTACTTCTCAAAAGATCTTGGGAGCTACTATCATTGCTCCTTCACTCTACTCAACAATGTCATCCCATCTCCTTAACATGGCATGAAAGGTCTTCACACCTAGGCTAGTTCTCTATAGAATCCATTTACCTCTACTTCACATTAACTCATTCATACATTTAGCTTATTGCACAAATATTTATTGTCTACTAAATATTATTGTGCACTATTCTTGGCACTGGGGGATACAACAATGAACAACAACAGAAAGTTCCTGCTTTGTGAAGTTTACAGTCTATTAGGAAAAGGAATACTAATCACAATAAATAATTATAAGATATATCCAGTGATGATCAGTGCCTTATAGAAACATATAAGACATACAATAGGATCAGGGTACAGAAAGTGCTAGTGAACAGAAATATTTTATATGTTGGTCAAAGAACGTTTCTTTAGAGCAGTATTATTCGAGAATACTAGAAATGGCAGAGTAAATTAACAGATTACCCGGGAAAATTGTGCTCCAGGCAGTGAGAACAACAAGCATAAATACTCTGAAGAGGGAAGATACCTGGCATATTTGGGAATAGCGAGGACGGTAGTATGAATGAAGAAAAGTGAGTGAGGAGAGCGTGATAAGAGATGAGGTCAGAGAGGTAATGGAGACCAGTTTGTGTGGGGACTAATGGCCATGGCAATGGCTTTGGCTTTTATTTTTGAGGGGATCAGGAACCATGGGTGAATTCTGAGCAGAAGATGAACCAACCTGATTTAAATTGTAAAAAGAATTTCAGAGAAGAATTAGTAAAGGTGTTAGAAAACTAGCAGGAGAAAAAGAAACAATTGCTAAGGAAACAAAAAAATACACAACAAAGGATATGTGAACAGCCTTTACTATGAGCTTTTTTTTTACTATGAGGTTTAAATGTGAAAAATATTCACAATGTAATTACTTATAGATAGTGATTAATAGTTGAAGCAAAATTGTATAAATGTTTAGAAAATAATGAATGCAACTGCAAAGATAAGTAAACAAAAAAGACTTAAGAATAGCTAGGCAGATTAGAAAGTAAAATACATGAAACATGTACAAATAAAAAATACAATTGTGGGACTGGAGCGATAGCACAGCGGGTAGGGCCTTTGCCTTGCACGCGGCCGACCTGGGTTCGGGGTGACCTGGGTTCGATTCTCGGCATCCCATATGGTCCCCCGAGCACTGCCAGGAGTGATTCCTGAGTGCAGAGCAGGAATCAACCCCTGTGCATCGCTGGGTGTGACCCAAAAAGCAATAAATAAATAAATAAATAAAAATTTATTAAAAAAATACAATTGTTGGGGCTGGAGCAATAGAACAGCGGGTAGGGCGTTTGCCTTGCACAGAGCCAACCCAGGTTTGATTCCCAGCATCCAATATGGTCCCCTGAGAACCGTCAGGGGTGATTCCTGAGTGCAGAACTAGGAGTAACCCCTGTGCATCGCCAGGTGTGACCCAAAAAGCAAAAAAAAAAAAATACAATTGTTGAAGTAAAAAGCAGAGTGGACAGATTAAACAAAAAATAAGACAGCCAAAGTGATAAATAGTTAATGAAAAGATATAGCTGAAGAAACTGCCCAGAATGAAGTTTATACAGACAGGAGAGAGAATATAGGGATAAGATGTTACAAGACATGGAAAAGACAATGAAGTCCAAAGTATGACTAACTGTATTCTGGGGAAGTGGGGACAGAAAGAATGGAAGAAAGGCAGTTTTTGAAGATAACGATGGAGATTTTTTCAGAAAAAAATATTTAGAGGCATGAGGCACATTTCCAGTGTAGAATTAAAAAGGAGTGCATGCGTAAACACGTTAAGGCGAAACTGCAGAATCCTTGCAGTGCCCCTCAAAAAATACACAAGATCTTAAAGCAATCAGTATAAAAGAAAACAAAAAAACTTATATAAAACATCAATTAAACTGAGAACAGATTTCAAAACTTATAACTATGTTTTTAGGAATGAGGATAAAATATTAAAATATACATATCACAAAGACTGGAAGAATTTAACACCAAGAGACCTGTATTAAAAGAGCATATAAACATTTTATTCATATGAACTGGAATGTAGCTCAGAAGGAGAGCACTTTCCTTGTGGGTATGATTCCCTGGGTGTTATCCCTGGCAAGACACAAACAAAATAGTGCCTAGACATTTTATTTGTAATGAAGAAAAATAATTCCAAAATGATGGTACCAGGAGCAAGACTATATACCATACATCAAAATCAACTTAAATAACCAAATTAAAAGGTGTCTGTCAAGATGGAAGGTTGGGGGTGGATGGGTAGAAGAGGGAATCTGGGAACACAATAGAGAGGGAAGCTGACACTGGTCTTAGGATTGGTGATGGAACACTGAATGTTAAAAACCCAATTACTAATAACTTTGTAATTTATGGTTCTTTAATAAAATAAAATTTTGAAAAAGTAAAATACTAATAATGACATCATGTTAATTAATAAAACAATGTATTACACAAGAAAGGAAGGAATAAATAAATATACTCCTAACAATATCATATGGTCAAAATGACTGACTAGAACTGAAAATTTCTAGGTTTCCTGCATCTTCAAAAGGGAGGTTGAAACACTACATAGAATTTCTGGGAATGAGTCGGGGCCACATCTGGCTGTACTTGGATGCTACTCCTAGCTCTATACTTAGGAGTCATTCATAGCAGTATTAAGGGAATCATGTGGTGACAGGGGGTTAACCTAGGTCTCCTCTATACAAAGCATGCATTCATTCCATTGAACAATATTTCTGACCCTAACATTTAGGCTTTTTAAGTTAAACATGCATGGTAAAAGTTCAAGGATAACCACAAAGAGAAAACTTTGTAAATTCTAAGCAGTCGAAGAAAAACACTGAATAATACACAAATCTCAAAAATAAGAAGGCAGGCAAAGAAAGAGAAAAATTAAGCATAGAAAAAGTGTTGGTAGGAAAAATAAATATAAAAGCATGATGGTAAAAACAAATTAAGATGTAAATGTAAATAGACTAAATTTGCCCATTTAAAGACAGAGATAATCATATTAGATTTTTAAATGTGCATCTATATGCCATTCCCAAAACATATAATTAAAACATAAGAACATGAAAATGTTGAAAAGTAAAAGGACAGAAAATCACATACCACAGAACTCTTGTTATACATCCTAATAAGAAGATAATATTTTGTTGCCAATGTAAGATTAAACAGACTTCAAAGACAAAGCATTATTATGAACAGAGAAGGTTAATTACATGTTTACCAGGCATATACCAACACATTTTAAATTTGAATGTTCCTGATAAAGTACCCTCAAAGATATAAAGTAAAAAAATTACAAAGAGTAAGCAAATCTACCAGTATTGTCAAATTTATACACAACCTTCTTATACTAGTATACCATGATCAAAACAATTACTATATAGAAAATTTGAACAATACAATTAACGCACTTGATAATAGACATACATAGAACTCTGTATTCAACAATTAGATAACATACTATCTTTTAAAGCACATAGGAAACAATAAAAATATATTGTTTACATACTAAGCCATAGAACAATTCTCAAATTCCAAAGAGCTTCATACATACCATATTCTTTAATCAAAATGCAATCAAGATAGACTTCAATAACAATGAGATAAAATAAAAAAATCTTCATTTAGAAAATTTAAAAGCACACTTTTGTATAATGGACAGGTCAAAAAGAAACCATGGTGGCAATCTGGAAGAAATTGAATCAAACAATAATGAAATATGACATACCTGAACTTGTAAAAAAGCAGTATTTAAAGGTAAATTCATTTCTTTATATGCACAAATTGGAAAACAAGTTACTGTCACTGTCACTGTCCTCCCGTTGTTCGTCGATTTGCTCGAGCGGGCCCAGTAACGTCTCCATTGTGAGACTTGCTGTTACTGTTTGGCATATCGAATACATCATGGGTAGCTTGACAGGCTTTGCCCTGCGGGCGAGATACTCTCGGTAGCTTGCCAGGCTCTCTGAGAGGGGCGGAGGAATCAAAACCGGGTCGGCCGGTCAGCCGTGTGCAAGGCAAATGCCCTACCCGCTGTGCCATTGCTCCAGCCCTGGAAAACAAGAAGGGTTTAAAAAAAAAGTAATGAGCACAATGTCCAATTTCAAAAATCAGAAAAAGAACAGCAGAATAAATCCAAAAAATGTGGAAGGAAGGAGATCAAAAAAAATAAGTGCAGAAATAAAAGAAATAGAAAACAAAGACAAAATAGAGAGGAGCAACAAGGCCAAAAGTTGGTTCTTTGAAAAGACTAATAAAATAGATAAGCCTCTGGTGAGATTAATCAAAAAAAAAAGTGAGAAGGCACAAATAACCAATATCAACAATGAAAAAGGAGACATAATTGCAGATTATGTAGCAGAGAATTGAAAAATAAAACTTTATGCTAATTAATTTAAGAATACAGACAAAACAACCCCATTCCTAGAAAAATATAACTTACCACAATTACCTCAAGAAGAAAAAAATCCTGAGTAGTCCTCTAGTCAGTAGAGGAACTATAGTAGTAGTTTCCTACAAAAACAAACAAAAGAATGAACCCCCCCCAAAACAGCAGAATTACAGAATTACAGAAGAAATATTATTTCCTTCTGTTCTGTAGGTGTCCATATGTGACCTAAAGCAATGAAGTCCCTAGACCTAAGGCAATTTGACACCTGCCTCTATCAGAACCCTCCCACAGAAATTCTTAGAGGGTAGTTCTTTGTGAAACGAGGTCTATATATAGTACTGTCAGTTCGGGGCACCAATGAGTAACATCTAGCACTCTCTGTAGCATCTAGTTACTGCTCTGTGCTGAATGTACTAAGAATGGCCAAGAAAGTGCTGTGTCACTTCAGTAACTAGGTTTTGTGGTCTTCTGCTCAGTGAGGACAAGGGATCAGTGGAGGTGCTGGAGGAGTCTGTGTTTCAGTTACCAAGATCACGCACAGCTCAACTTGTGACCTGCAGAGATGGGGTTGGACGCAGAAAAGTCAAGAAGGGTTTCTGGAGGGTGTCACTCCAGGTAGAGGCCCTGAAACGCCGTCTTCACAACTATCAAATACTTCTATCCATTTGCAGCTGAAGAGCTGTTTTATTGGTGTCCAAGCTAGCTGCAGGGTGATGATTCTAACAATGATGCACGTTCTGCAAATAAGAGCTCCATCATTATTTTGAAATACTTAATATGGAAGAGTTTAATTTGAAATATAATCACATTATCACAAGAAATTTTTTTCCTTAAATTTTTATTAGTGAAACACCATGAGGTACAGTTGTAGACTTACAAATTTTTGTGCTTGGGTTTCAGTTATACAATGATCGAATACCCATCCCTCTACCAGTGCCCATTCTCCACCACCACTGATCCCAGTATCCCTCCCACCCCCACCCTCGCATCCCTCCCTACCTCTGTGGCAGGGCATTCGCTTAGTTATCTCTTTCCTTTTGAGTGCTGTGATTTGCAAAAGAGACATTGAGTAGCAATCATGTTCGGTCTATAGTCTACTCTCATCACACATCTCTCATTCTGAGAGGAACCTCCCAACACCCTGTATTTGGTGCTCCCTTCTCTATCTGAGCTGCCTTTTCCCCTAGCATGTGCAGCTGGCCTCCATGCCATGGAGTAATCCTCCTGGTACTTATCTTGGCTATTCTTGGGGGTTTGTCTCCTATTTTGTTACTTGATGTTCCCCAGAGGAATGCAATCTCTCCATGCCTGTCCCTCTCTTTCTGACTCATTTTGCTTAGCATGATACTTTCCATGTAGTACCACTTGTATATGAATTTCACGACTTCATCTTTTCTAACAGCTGCATAGTACTACATTGTGTAGTTGTACCAAAGTTTCTTTAACCAATCATCTGTTCTCGGGCACTCAGGTTTTTTCCAGATTCTAGATATTGTAAACAGTGCTGCAATGAACAAACAAGTGCAGATGTAACTTCGACTACACTTTTTTTTGCCTCTCTGGGATATATTCCCAGGAGTGGTATTGCTGGGTGAAATGGGCACTCCATTTCTAATTTTTTAAGGACCATCCATACTGTTTTCCAAAAGGGCTGAACCAGTCGGCATTCCCACCAGTAATGAAGGAGGGTCCCTTTCTCGCCACATCCGCGCCAACACTGGTTGCTTTTGGTCTTTTGGATGTGGGCCAGTCTCTGTGGTGTGAAATGATATCTCATTGTTGTTTTGATCTGCATCTCCCTGACAATAAATGATGTAAAGCATTTTCTCATGTGCCTTTTAGCCATTTGGATTTCTTCTTTGGGAAAGTTTCTGTTCATTTTGTCGCCCCATTTTTTGATGGGGTTAGATGTTTTCTTCTTGATATTATCACAAGAAATTTTAAGAATAATTTTTTTCAGTTAAACAAAAATTTGAGACCTGTTATATATCATTTCTATTTTTGTTTGGCATCCATATATGGCTTTACTTAGGGCTTACTCTTAGCCATGTACTCAGGGATCACTTCTGGTAGTGCTCAGGGGACCATATGGAGAGCTGGGATCAAACCTGGATTGGCTGCGTATAAGTCAAGTGTACTGCCCACTATATTATCTCTCTGACCCTTATAATTTCTATTTTAAGCATGCTAAAACTTTAAAAATTGATTTTAAGTACTTTATATCTATTTTTACAAAGGGATCTTTACTGATAACAAATATTAAGGATTTGACGAACACATAAATTAAAAGTTTTGAATTACAGCATAACATGTTATATTAAATAAAATATGAAAACAGATTTTAACTTTCTCACTTAAAATTTGAATTTCTCTTATTTGACTTTGGGCCAGACCCTGCAGTGCTCAGGGTTTACTCCTGGTTCTGTGCTCATGAAACACTCCCAGTAGGCTAAGGGGAGCATATGGGATGCCAGGGATAGCGCCTCGGTTGGTCACATGTGAAGCAAGTACCCAACCTGATGTACTGTCTCTTCATTCTACAAAAATGTTTGGAAATTTTTTTAATTTAGAATTTTGTTACAAAAAATAAAATATCAGACCGAGGATGTTTTGTTTTCCTGTGGTGCTGGGGATTGAACCCAGGGATTCACATATGAAGGCATAAACTCTACCATTGAGCCACATTCCTAGTTCTGGACCAAAATAGTTTTACTGGAGTATTCTACAAAAATTATCACTCCAAAGTCATGTAAAACTTTCTGGAATATCGTAAAAGAAGGAATACTAGAAAAAAATAATGAACACTCTGTGCCATTCTATGATAATAGCCAAAGTTGGTGCTGAAGTAAATTAAGGACAAAATAAGAAAGAAGAATTAAAGATCAAGTTTACTCATGGATACAAATACAAAATGTTAACATGGATAACAAAATTTTAACAAAGATACATAAACAAAATATTAACAAACAATCTGGTACTGTATAAAAAGGAAAATATCATGACCATGTTGTGTTTATGTAAGAAATTAAAAGGCGTTAAAGGTTTTCTCTCAGAAAAGCTTGCTTTTTCCTGTTTTTTTCTCTTTTCAGATCCCATATATAAGTTAAATCATATAGTATTTGTCTTTGTCTGAATTACTGCCTACAAATGGCAACATGCAATTTTTATAACTAAAGAACTTCCTATATATGTACACATTCCAAGTTTTATTTATTTATGAATACATTTATTCAGTATGGCTTCTTAAATTTTCCCATATCGTCGTTGATCGTCGATTGCCTCGAGCAGGCCCCAGTAACGTCTCTTTCATCCTAGCCCTGAGATTATATTCACGGCTCTTTAGGAGAATGAGACCCATCATTGTTACTGGTATTTGGCATATTTGGTAGGCCACGGGGAGTTTGCCAGACTCTGCCCTGTGGGCAGGCTACATTCGATAGCCTGCAAGTTTGTTCAAAGTAGGAATGAGATAATAAGATGTCATAAAGAAAAGTTCTGACAAGATGTCGCGCAGCCGCGAATGCGGCCGCGCGGTTCAGGGATCTGGATTTTATAGTCTCTGAGTCTTGGCCGCTGATGGGATTACACGGCGCCAGGGGGGCAGGTGGTGGGTGTGACCCCCGCCTACTGGAATTTGGAGGATCTGGGTGGAAGATGCTCGACTCCAATTCGAGTAGGCTGGAGGTCTCGGCCCCGGAACCCGCGTGGCTTTGTCCCTCTGCCAGTACCTTCATGTGTGCGGAGAGTGGTCTCAGCATGGTGGTGGCTGGTCCTGGAGGTCTCCGGCTGCCGTAGCCCTGGTCGGGGCGGGGAGGAAAGCTCAACCCGCTCCCCTCCAAGGGACTCCGGGAAGGAACACCCAGGCGCGGGGGCAGAGACTGCACTGTTCTCGTCTGGGATCTGGATTTTATAGTCTCTGAGTCTTGGCCGCTGATGGGATTACACGGCGCCAGGGGGCCAGGTGGTGGGTGTGACCCCCGCCTACTGGAATTTGGAGGATCTGGGTGGAAGATGCTCGACTCCAATTCGAGCAATCAGTCTCTGCCCCCGCGCCTGGGTGTTCCTTCCCGGAGTCCCTTGGAGGGGAGCGGGTTGAGCTTTCCTCCCCGCCCCGGCCAGGGCTACGGCAGCCGGAGACCTCCAGGACCAGCCACCACCATGCTGAGACCACTCTCTGCACACATGAAGGTACTGGCAGAGGGACAAAGCCACGCGGGTTCCGGGGCCGAGACCTCCAAGCCTACTCGAATTGGAGTCGAGCATCTTCCACCCAGATCCTCCAAATTCCAGTAGGCAGGGGTCACACCCACCACCTGGCCCCCTGGCGCCGTGTAATCCCATCAGCGGCCAAGACTCAGAGACTATAAAATCCAGATCCCGGACGAGAACAGTGCAGTCTCTGCCCCTGCGCCTGGGTGTTCCTTCCCGGAGTCCCTTGGAGGGGAGCGGGTTGAGCTTTCCTCCCCGCCCCGACCAGGGCTACGGCAGCCGGAGACCTCCAGGACCAGCCACCACCATGCTGAGACCACTCTCCGCACACATGAAGGTACTGGCAGAGGGACAAAGCCACGCGGGTTCCGGGGCCGAGACCTCCAAGCCTACTCGAATTGGAGTCGAGCATCTTCCACCCAGATCCTCCAAATTCCAGTAGGCGGGGGTCACACCCATCCCATATCTTAATTTGTAAATATTGCTGTGATAAACATAGGGATCAATATTTTTAATCCAAATATGATAGTTTAAGATGAGGAAAATCTATCAATGTCTTTTACCTTATTGTCAGATAATAATATGGGAATGAGAACATAATCATCCGAAAAAACATAAAAGGGAATTAGTTTTAAAAATCTTACATGATTTAGAAACATACAAGGAAACCTTCCTAGTATATTTACACTGATGGTAGGATTGGTGTTGGAATATTGTATGCCTGAAACTCAACTATGACTAATATCATAAATCATGGTGCTGCTCTGAAAAGACAGGGGCCAGAGAAATAGTACAGAAGGCAGGGTTCTTGCCTTGTGTGCTGCCAACCTGGATTTGCTTTGATCCCTGGCACCACATATGATCCCCTGCATCCCAGCAGGAGTAATCCCTGATTGCAGAACCAGGAG